AGAGAAAGTATTTTATTAATTATTTAATTAATTAATATGACCTGGAAATGAAGAAGATAATGATAATAATAATTTGTTAATATCAGATTTTTTAACGTTTTAATAATTTAAATTCTTCTGAAATTCTTCTCCGAAATTCAATTATTTCCAAAAATTTTAATGATATTCTTGGCAAAACTTCAATTATTTTCAAAATTTTTTTTAAATTTTTGTCAAAATTTCAATTATTTTCAAAAGTAGTAAAATTCTTCTTCACACTGAGAAAACTGGAGAGTCAAATTCAGAGGTTCAAAAAGTGTATGTTTCCTTTACTTATGAAGAGAGTTAAATAGTCCTTCTAAAATAAATTATGAATTGATAATGGAAATCTACTTGTATATTCTCTCTCATTATATCTGAGGGTTAAAAGTTGCGCAGAAAATGTGTACGATCTGATGCGCGCGAAATTATTTTTCTGACATTTTATGTATTTAATTTAGGGGTTAGGTTGCCATATTTATTCATTTTGCGCCGGATAAGGAAGGGATTTCTCAAGATGGTTAATTTGTCCCTCTGTTATAAACTCATTTTCCCTCCAAGAGAAATGGCACGAATATCTGTCAATGGTGTATTTGAACATTTAGATTGTTATCCAATAGCTAACTCTCAAATATGAACGATTTGTCCCTCCAGATGTTTAGTCCAATACTCCAGTTTTCTCAGTGCAAAATTCAATTATTTTCAAAAGTAATAAAATTCTTCTCAAAAATTCAGTTACGTTCAAAAATTTTTTTTTTAATTTTCGTCAAAATTTCAATTATTTTTAAAAGTAGTAAAATTCTTCTTCGAAATTCAATTATTTTCAAAAGTAATAAAATTCTTCTCAAATATTCAGTTAAGTTCAAAAATTTTTTTAAATTCTCGTCAAAATTTCAATTATTTTCAAAAGTAGTAAAATTCTTCTCCGAAATTCAATTATTTTCAAAAGTAATAAAATGATTTTCAACTATGTTCATAAAATTTTATAAATGAATTCAATTATTTAAAAATAATTTTACTAAAATTCTACGCAAACATTAAATTATTTTCATAAATAATAAAAATTTCACAGGAATTCAATTAGTTAAAAAAATTTTATAATTTTCTTTGCAATAATTCGATTTCTTTATGATAATTCAATTTTAAAGAACATTCAATAATTATTCAATAAAAGTTTTCTTTTTATTTTTAAATAATTGAATTAGATTATTTAATTATAGATAATAATTGAATATTAAAAGCATTATAGCGTGAATTTTTAGAAATAATTGAATTTTGAAAAGGTTTCAAATTAAAATCTTTGAAAATTTGAATTTTCCATACTTTTAACTAATAATTCTGTAGAATTAATTTGTTGAAATTATTTGAAGTTTTTATTTTCTAATATATGTATATTTAATTGAAGAATTGAATTGCGTAAACAAATGTATGTGAAAATTCTCAAAAAACTATAAAGAAAAAGTTATAAATAAAAAAATTACTAAAATAAAAAAAAAATTACTAAAAAAAATTAAATTAAATTAAATTACTAAAATTATTAAAAACAATTGATTTAAAGAAGAATTTTAGTTGAAAATTCTGAAAAATAATAATTGAATTGAAATGATGAAAATAATGTTGAAGAAGTTACAATAATAATTTACTAATTAAAAAGCAAAAAATCAGTCTCTAATATTGAGATTGGTAACAATTTTTACTAATTCAATTTTAAAGAGTCAGTTAATAATTTTTCATATTCTACAAGTATTTATTTATTCAGAAGTAATTTCCTTTTTTTCGAACCGCACTATTTAGACACGTAACAAAATTAATGAGTGTATAATTAATTGACAAAACATGCAATAAAATTTATTATCAATATGTGTCACATCATATACACACTTTATAAGAAACAGATGGGAATTTATTTTCTTTAGGTGTGAACATTTTAGTGAATGAAGCGCACTTAATCGTGATAGCTTCGTCTAAAATGTTTATTTGAAAAACAGTTTGGTGATCTTTCTATATAACAGAGTTTGAGAAAGTGTTATACGTGCTTCAAATAGAATAGGAGTGAGTGAGAGGGAGACAGAGGGAGGTGTGAGAGAAAATAAGACAGCGAGAGAAATAAAAAGAACAAAAAGAAAAAAAATGTCAGTGTCAGAGACCAAGATCCATCTGCTTCTTAGTGATGAATGTGCATTATGTAAATGAAATGCAGCTTTTCAATAATCTTTAATATCATGTAAATTTTTTCTCCCGTCACAAACATCACACGGAAAAATTATTCGTTTCTCCCAAAAAGAAAAAAAAAAGAAGAAAATCTCCTCTCGAAACTTTATTGGAGATTTTTAAATATCACCGCTGAGTTCGCAAATTGATTTTTTTTTTCTAAATTAGCTGAAATATTGGTTTCAGGACATGAATTATTATGTAAAATGAAAAATTTTTTTTTTTTTTTTGGTGTTCATTGCATAAAGGGAAAAAGTAGTACTTTTTTTTGGCTTTCTAATTAAGATGAGAGAAATGACTGCACAAAATTTTTATCTGCTAAATTATGCGCAAAAAGAAATTGCAAGCGACGAATATGATTTTGTTACACCATTCCACTGATTGAATTTGAATTTTGATCAAAAATTTACAATCGTAAATTTACTGAATTTATTATTTATTGAGAGAAAAAATGTGCTATTTTTTTTTTTTTTTTGCAAAAAAACCGAATTTTTGTAGTAAATTTTATTTGATTAATTTCTATTTTAGTAAACTGAAAAAAAAATTCTGCTTAAAGTATTTATTTGATTAATTTAGTATTATTTATTTATTTTCTGGTTCATCAGATTTAAATTTTAATTAAGCTATTCAGAAGTCTAATTAAATTGAAAGCAAATCTAGTTGACTTGAATAGTTAAATTAAATTCTCGACTTGAATTCTGGTGATAATTTAATGAAAATTTAACTTAAAATTTTGTATTCTCCTATTTTTTTTACAGTTTGACATTTAAGAGAAAAATAATTTTTTCTAATCTTTTATTCAGCCAAATGTTTATTATGCGGAATTTTCAAAGTCTATTGTAATTTTTTTTCAATCAAACTTTTATTTAGCCGAAAAAATAATTGGCTCAAATATTTCCGAACGAATTTCAAAATTAAATGACAATATTTGTCTTGAAATAATTTTTTATTGAATTTTTTATTTGAAATTCGTGATATACTTGTATGCCAAAAATTTTTTATTAAATACAAAATAAATAAATACATATTTTTTTAAATACAAAACTTTCAATTTTGAATGAATTTAATTAAAAAATTTTAAAGAACTAAGATTTTTGAAAAATTTTAATAATATTCAATTCTTCTGAAATTAGTTCAATTTTTTAAATATATATTTAATTAATTATTAAAAATATTGGATTTATAAAAGAATTTTAGTTAAAAACATTAAAATAATTGCATTTAGGAAAAGTTACAAATGATTGCAGCAATTCAATTATTTAAAAAGTAATAAAATTCTTCGCAAAAATTCAATTATATTCAAAAATTTTTTAAATTCTCGTCTAAATTTCAATTATATTTGTAAATAAAAAAATCTTCTCCAAAATTCAATTATTTTTAAAAATTTTTAATAAAATTCAGTTATTTACAAATTTTTTATAAATTTCTTCGTAATATTTCAATTATTTTTATGAATTAAAAAATTTTTTAACAAGGATTCAATTATTTTCATAAATAATAAAAATTTCACAGGAATATAATTATTTACAAATTTTACATAAATTACTTCACAATAATTCAATTATTTTCAGCAATAATAAAATTTTTTACAAGGATTTAATTATTTTCATGAATAATAAAACTCATTGCAGAATTTAAATTATTTTTAATACAATTTTAATCGAATTCCTCGAAAAATGTAATTATTCTTCCAAATTTCATTAAAATTTGTCGAAAGAATTCAATTCATTAAAAATGTATTGAAAAAATTCTTTATGAGAATTCAATTTAAAAAAACATTCAATAATTTATTTTTTTTTTATTTACATAATTGAATTCTCGTAGAATTTTTTAATGAAAATTGATAAAAAAAATTAATTTTAGTTCAAATTTTCAGATAATATAATTAATAATTGAATATTAAAAACATTAAAGCGTGAATTTTTTTTAAATAATTTAATTTTGAAAAGGTTTCAAATTAAAATATTTGAAAATCTTAATATTTTTGAAAACTTTTATTAATTTTTTTAAAGTATTTTATGTTTTTTATTTTCTAATATGTATAAATTTTAATTGAAAATTTTCGAATAATAGAAATTTTCTATAACTGAATATTATAAAAAAATAGATTTGAAAATTTTCAAAGAACTTTTTAAAAAATTATTAAAAATAATTGATTCTAAGGGAATTTGAACCATTATGACGTCACAGCTTTAGAAAACATGCTTTTCGCAAACTGTGACGTCACAATGGTTCAAATTACCTTAAAGAAGAATATTTTAGTCAAAAATTCTAGAAAATAATAATTGAATTGAAATGATGAAAATAATTTTGAAGAAGTTAGAGTAACAATATTTTTATAATATAAAAGAATGATTTTATCACTCGGTAATTTTTAATCTAATTTTAAGAATATTCTTAAAAGTATAGTTGAATTACAAAATGGTTTGAAATTGAATTTGAAATTTTTAAAAATCTTAATTCCTATGGAAAAATAATAATGATGAAATATTTATTTAAAGAAGAAGTTCTTGAAATTTTCGAATAATTTTACAATTAAAGAAATTCGCAAATAAATGTAATATGTAGAAATTTTTTTTTTGAGTATCTAATCATTTTGAGAGTGAATCAGAATATTCTTTGGGGTCAGAAAAAAACTCAAAATATTGTCTGCGGAAATCAGAGAAAAGTCCAGGGTAAAAACAAAATTAAATTTTTGTTGTAAGTTTTTATACAATTCGTTTTGTCTTCTAAATTTTGTTTTTTAAATGTAAAAATTTTTTCTGTTACAGATTCATTTGGAAGAAGACTCGAGAGGTGAGTGATTTTTTTTCCTCTAAAGATTTACGTTTGCAAAGTAAGAAAAAAAGAATTCTATGAGATGAGGATTATAAGGAATTAAAAAGAATCGTACTTTCCATTATTATTATTATACTCATAGGATTGAAGTTAAAAAATAATCTTAGCACCGAGAGAGGCATGGAATTGAAAATTTTGACATGTAATTCTCTCTCTTGGTCTATAGTATGTGTGTTAGTTACAGCGTCTGAGAGGGCTGTTATTTTTGGAAGTTTCCACTTGAATTTCTCTTATTTGAACTACATACATTTGCCAATAGCTTCCAGAGGTAGTCACTCAAACATGCACTTCATTTGAGAACATATATTTCTTAAAAACACGTTTATACATATATATGTGCACACGTATGTATATATTATAACTAGGTATAAAATAACACTAAATTATATTATAAGAAGGGATAATAACGAATCTTTTCAAGAGTCTTTATAACCCATCCAGCAGTTTTTAAGCTGATGTTTTTGAAATCGTAAAAATTTCTCCAGCACACTTTTCACCCATACTTCAATAAAAATTTTATTATATTTGAGCTTCTTCTATCTTTTAACTTGCGCTCTTTTATATCGCGCGCCACCAACCAAATCCGGAAATTTTGAATTAAATTAATAACCACCTTATATATACCTATAGAGAGAGAGAGAGAAAATCAACTTACTGCAAAAATTGGATCTCTCTCTATAATATATATATATCAACGTACAAAAGATTTTTCTGATAAAGAGGGGAAAATTTAATTAGGAAATTTTTCGCATATTTATTCGTAATGAAAATTTTTTTAAATATATGCGGCAATGAAAGAGAGTTGAAAGAAAAAAAATGTGTAATTTCACTTTGTTAATACAAAATTAAAGTTGTATAGCTTTTTATAATTTCTTTCAAGCTTTTTATAAAGATTAATTTTATATAATTATGAGAAACATTTTACATTACTTTTTCATTTGAATTTATATGTATTTATATTTATTTCTTACAGCGCGGGATTTAGTGTAAATAAACATAAAAATTTAAACCATACCATTTCAGAGACGTGCAATTTTTCATTTTCATTTTAGATTCATAATTATAATAAAATATGGTAATGAAAAATAATAATAACAAATAGATTGCGTTACAACTAATTTCTATGTATCTTCATAAGTTTTTAACCTCATAATTTTCTTTTTAGAGTTCGCAACTAAAAATCTAAGTGAAAAATTGCACTTTTCCGAAATTGTATGTTTTTTAGAACAACTGAAATGGTATTATGGTTTCCCACCCCAGCGACGAAATTATTATTATTATTATTATTATAAAATTATTCTAAAATAAAAAATGATAATTAATTATAATAATTTGAATGTTCTTTCATGCATTCACTTTTTCTGTCCCTTACACTCTGAAGTTGTATTTTGTTAATACTTTTGTTTTGTATTATCTTTAGATAGATTGTATATTTTATTATTATTAGTAATTTATTCATTCAATTTATTATTGTTATGCAAATTACTAAATTTTTTATTTTCACATATTAATTTCATAATCAAAATTTAAAAAATTTACTTATTAAGTACAAAATTAATTATTTCATATTTTCAAAAATTTTAATAAAATTTTACGAAAAAATTCAACTATTTTCTAGAATTTTAATAAATCCTTTTAAACAATTCAATTATTTTTTTAAATAGTAAAATCTTTACGAAAATTCAATGATTCGCAAAACAATTTTAATTGAATTCCTCGGAAGAATTTGATTTTTTAAAAAAATTTTTAAACATTTCAAAAAAATTCAATTTTTTTCTAAAATTTTAAGAAATCCTACGAAAAAATTCAATTATTTTTATAAATAGTAAAATTCTTCGCAATAGTTCAATTAATTTTATAAATAGTAAAATCCTTTGCAGGAATTCAATTATTTTCAAAATAATTTTAATTTAATTCCTCGGATGAATTCAAATATTTTTAAATATTTCCACAAATTTCAATTATGTCCTAAAAATTTAATAAATTCTTCGAAACAATTATTCAACTATTTTTTTAAATAGTAAAATTCTTCGCAACATTTCAATTATTTTCAATTCATTTTTAATAAAATTCTTCTTCATAAAATTTTAATTGTTTTCAAAATTGTCAATTAAAATTAGTTTAAAAAAAAAATTCAAAGAAATTCTGCAAAAGAATTTAATTGGGATTTGTAAAAATTAATAAAATTCTTTGCAAGAATTTAGTTATTTTTCTAAATAATAAAATTCTTTGAATGAATTCTATTATTATCACATTTTTTGATAAAATTCTTTGCAACAATTTGATGGTTTTCAATATATTAATTTTAAAATTGAAAATATTTGAAAAGAAAAATGATAAAAAAGTTGCGAAACAAAAAAGCAAACAACAACTAACTTCAAACAAATAGAAATTAAATTATTTTTTATGAAAATAATTGAATTCTTGTGAAATTTTTATTACCTATTTATGAAAATTATTAAATGTTTGCATACAATTTTATTAAAATTTTTTTCAAATAATTGAATTCATTTTGGGAAATTTTATTAAAATAGTAGATATTGGAAATCATTGAAATTAGAAAAATGCATTTTATTTTTGAAAATAATTGAAATTAGGACAAAAATTTTTTGGAAATTTATGAAAATAATTGAACTTTGGACAAGAATTTTGTTATTTATAAAGATAATTGAAATTTTTTTCAAATTTTGAGCATAATTGAATTTTATAAGAAGAATTTTATTTATTTTTTTTGAAAATAATTGAATTTTTGCAATTATTTGTAATTTCTCCAAATTTTAATTTTTTTTAGTGTTTTCAACAAAAATTTAAATTAGAAAAATTTTTAAATTCTATTATTTTTAAAATTGCTAATTTTATTGTAAAAAGGTTAAAGGTAGGAAGAAGTTAGTGAATTATAACTAGTAATATTTACTATCAAATATAATAAAACGTTTTGAAATGTAACAGTTATTAGGAACATACGACAGTTTCCAATTAACGTTAATGAAAATTTAATATACGTTTACGCATATCAAACGTTTATGTGGATGAATTATTTTTCTCTTTGATGTGCGTATAATATGCAAAAATAAAGAGAAGCATTTAAAAAAATTGTGTCATTAAATTTTGTTGGTACGTAAGCAAAATAATATACTGCGAGGGATTTTTTTCTTCATGAAGTTGTTTAAAAAGTAAAAAATACACGCGTTCACACATAATATATTTGATATTATAATTGTCAATATAAAAAAAAAATTTTTTTTTTGCTTATTTGAGTTTGAATTTGAAACTAAAAACTACGAAGGATAATTTTTCTTTCTTCTTCTTTTTTTTTAATTCAAAAGAGATTTCTAGATTCTTTTACTATAATAAAAAATTCTCCTTCGTTAGTTTAGAAAATTTTTCAGAGGCTTAACTTTTATGTTACAGTAACTTTAACCGCTGTTACTTTATAATGTGTCATTTTTTCTCTTTGAGATAATAAAAAGTGTAGCAATTTTCTTTTTAGAAAATTTCTATTCACTTAAGATTTTTTACGATCTTTTTAATTTATCTTTTCTTGCTGCGAGAAAGGATTATCTTTTAAATATTGTAAATTTATTTCAAAATAGTATGGAAACTGAATTAAAAAAATTTTGAAATAGGCTACATCAATTTTTTTAACATTTATTATTATGAAAAAATTAAAAATTATTGCCCTCCAGCTTAAAAAATATTAGAATTTCTGAAGTCTGAAATGCACAACGATTTTAAAAAACGAAAAATCAAATAAGAAATTTTTTCAATTTAAATTCATTGCAAATTTTTATGTGCATAAATTTTTAAAAAATTTTTACTTAATTGTTATATATAAAAATGCCATGAATTTGAAGCCAAAACTTTATTTAAATTCCATTATTATTTTCTAGAATTTTTAACTAAAATTATCTTCTTTAAATCAATTATTTTGAATAATTTTTGAAAAAGTTCTTTAAAAATTTTTAAATTCATTTGTTTACAATTGGATTTTAAAAAATTTCAATTATTCGGAATTATTAATTATTATCTAAAATTTTAACTGAAATTCATTATTAAATTAATTTTTATTAGAAAATTCTGCGAGAATTTAAATTATTCAAATACAAAAATTTATAATTTATTGAATAATTGAATGTTTCCCAAAATTGAATTCTCATAAAGAATTTTATAAACAAATTTTTAAATAATTGAATTCTTTTAACGAATTTTAACAAAATTTTTAAAAATAATTATATTTTTCATGGAATTTGATAAAAATTATATTAAAAAAAATTGAAATTATGCGATGATTTATATTATTTATAAAAATAATTGAATTCTACTTAGAAAGAATTTTATTATTTCTGAAAATAATTGAATTTCTGTAAAAAAATTTGATTATTTATAATAATTGAATTATTGTGAAGAATTTTATATAAAATTTGTAAATAATTGAATTCCTGCGAAATTTATATTATTTATGAAAATAATTAAATGTTTGCTTAGAATTTTATCAAATTTTGTTTTAAATAATTGAATTCTTTTGGAAAGTTTTGATTAAAATAAGTAGTAGAAATTGAAAATCATTGAATTGAGGAAAATTTTTGAAAATAATTGAAATTTTGTCAAGAATTTTATTAAATTTTTTGAAAATAATTGAAATTTTGTCAAGAATTTTATAAAAATTGATGAAAATAATTGAATTTCCCAAAGGAATTTTATTATTTTTAAAGATAATGAAAATTTTGACGAGAATTTTTTAAAATTTTTGTACTTAATTGAATTTCTGCAATCATACTTGGTTATACAAGTGTTTGTTTACATATTGTAAATTTCTCTTACAAATCTCTTCATACGATTAATTTCTAATTAAACCTTTTGAAGTTCGTCTATTTATGAAAATTCTATAAGCGCAATCCTTTTAAAATTTAATTAATTTTGAAGGATTTACGTAACATTATTCATTAAATAATTTTATG